TTTTTTTTTGTTTTTTTTTGCGCAAAGAGCGCTCGCAAATGTGTAACTCGGAAAAAGATTTATGATAGTAATCTCCTTTTCCGAGTTGAAATCCAAAGTGCATCATTCTAATTCATATGACTGCAATATATCATACACGGCGAATGAGATAAATATTGAGATAAATACTCGATATTCGAGCGGGAAAGCTTTGACAAAATTTTTCATCTCCTTTATTCGACTGCACTTTTCGCGCCGCAATTACTTAATCGCGAACGTGGATTCAATTCCGTGCGCGAGACAAAATGTTCGCGAATATACGCACATTGTTCTCCCAAAATAGGCCGAATCGTAATTATGCAAATATACAATGGGCTGTCCATTCTCGCACAACACTCGACGGATAATCGACCATTTAAGCGACGCATTGATTACTTGCAATTATCCAATCATGTTTGATGCTTTAGCTACCTGTCAGGGCAAATTGAATCAAATTTCCCTCGCAATATTCTAGAGAATTTATTTCTTCGGCGGAAAATTTCTTTCTCTGGAATGCGTACCTCGAGGCTATTTATGCGGAAAATAAAAAAAAGCCGGGTAAAACCTGAAAAAAATTGCTCTATGGCGTTTTCGTCCGGAAAAATGTAAGGCGCGGCCATCTATGTATCATGTGATGTGTCACGGTACATAAGAGATCTTATGTGCCCCGGCTGTTCGAGACGTGCCGTGCGTTACAATAGTGATTTATCATAAAGTTTGAAAATGGCACGCAACGGACGTCCATCGCAAATTATGAACACCGTAGCGTCACGCACCATATGACACTTCCGTTATCGCGGCTGGAATGGACGAATCTTATACATATAAATTATAAACTGGATCTTTTAAAAGGTATGAAACGTGAATTATTTTTGGCGACGTCTCTTTTTTATAACGAGACACGATTTTGCAACTGGAAAATTCTAAAGTCTAAAAAATTCACGCGAATGAAATCGAACGAAGAGACTCGTAAAATATTACACAAACGCGCAAATCGAATTATCATAGTGTCATATATCGCTATTCGAAAAAATTAAAAGCGTTAATATTTTAAAGTAGTGTTCATACTAAATTCATATTTATATTGACGCGACATTCGGGGAAGCCAACTTGGAAAATTACCATTAACTATGGCGACATTTTAGATGAAAGCAAACAAATTTGGAGATACGCAAAAATTTGAAGCGCGTTTTTAGTTCGCGCATCCGGTCGATCATTTTACTGAATCAGGGATAATCACGAGATGGAAAATATTTGTAAACTAGATACGTGCACGCGCGCCACGCTCATGCATGCTAAATTACACGCATAATGAAAGTACGCCAAATTTTACAGAGCGGGTCAATTCCGTGACGGACATGCGCATGGCCCTTTAAACCGCCTCGAGCAATTTCCTTCCTTTATAATATTTTAATGCAAATACTATTTTCCGACCCGAGGGCAAGGCTTCCGGAAAAAAATAATAATAAACTTATCCAACTTGCCCTGGATCCATATTTCCCTGGAAATCAGTTTAACAGCAATATTTTTAGCGAGTGTTAAAAGTTGCCTGCGTTTCTATTCGCGTGCATTTATTTGTGCAAACTTAGTTCCGCGAAGAGTAACGCTGCGCGTCTGAACTTGGTGAACTTTACGTGGCCTCCTTTCCGATCCTTCAGAATATATAAGTGCGTATTAAAAGCGGAAACGTGTGTATCTGGAACTTTACTTCGCGAAGAACGATCGCATATCGTTCTTTGCAAACTAAAGTTCAAAATACGTGTAAACTAAGCCCGATATGCATAACGACTTATAATCACGCGTGGATCAATGGCGCATTTTACGT